AAAGTAGTGAGATTATTAAACGCGTTTTATTTCTTAAAAAATAAAATAAAATACATTTAATGCGTACAAAATACACGTGAACATTGCAAAGTTGGTATATTTATCAAAATATAAGTGTTAAGTGCTCTTTTTATATGAAAATTTGCTAGTGAAACTGGAAAGAATTTAACAACAAATTAGTTAAATACTATTACTAATAAAGTGAAAAGAGTGATAAATATGTAAATATCATATTGTTTGTCGTGCTGTGCAGACGTGTTTTTCTTTGCTCTTGGATTTTCATATTGAACACATAAACAAATCGCTTTCGCGCATTCATACAAACAAATAAACAATCCGTTTTCCGCATACACACATATTTGAGAGTGCTGGTGATATTTCGCTACCCTGATTGAAGCCTTGACCTTTTCTGGGAATAAAAATAATAATAATTATAAAGTGCCCTAAGAAGTTTTTTGTTTTCGCTATGTCTGTTCGTGCATCGACCTCTTCTGCAGCGAACAAACGTCCCCTGCGGGGACAGGAGTCCCCTGCTGCTAAAGTGGTAAAGCTGGATGAAGACATCACCCTTATTGCTGTCTTTGCAAAACTAAAGCAACTCGAAGTGAAAATACAGCAACAAACGGACAATCTGCTGCCGCTAGTTGAGAATGTCTCTCAGAAATTGTCAGAGCTGGAGAACAAATTAACAAAGCGAATAGATGATGAGATAGCTGTGTTTACTGAGAAAGTGGCCGAGACGACTACGCGCTTAACTTTGATGGAAGCTAATATGAAGAAGGCTGAAAGCGATATTGCCTACCTACAACAGCAAGTTTCTAGTGCACTACAACAAAAACCTACTCCTGATATTTCTGCTGATGCTGTTGTGTTTGGTGTGCCTTATGCGGATGGGAAGAACCTAAAGAGCATATTTAACCAGATTTGTCTCTCCATCGATTTCATGTCTCCACAAATTCGCGACATCTTCCGAACGCGCCCCACTGCCAACCGCAACGGCGTGATTGTCGTTAAATTTCACTCCCCGCATGATCGCAATCGCACCCTTCGCGCTTTTGGGGAGTATCGCAGGCGATTTAGATCTGCAGTGTCATTAAGCTCCATTGGAATGGATGGAATTTTCCACATATTTGAGAGTCTCACTCAAGAGAAAAGGCGCTTACTACAAGAGGCTATCAAGCTACGCAGAGAGGGTAAGCTGGTATCGGTATACACAATGCGAGGCGAGGTGCACGTAAGAAATGAAAAAGACAAAAATAGCCCCGCTATCAAATTAACCTGCGAAGATGATTTAGCGCGCTTTCGTTAGGTATAAGATTTTGTTTTTATGTTCCCTCTGTTATGTATTCATTGTTGTAAAGTTGGCACATCTCAGTTTATGTTTGTTTGTTCTTAATATTGTTATCCCTTATGCTTTAAAGTTGCTTTTGTTTATACGCGTAAAATATCATGGTTGTACCCAGCAGCAAAACGGCTAACATTGACAATTGTAGTCGTGCAATGGTGAACATCATGTGCGGTCAACAAACGGGTTTGAACATTGTTCATTTTAATGCGCGCAGTCTTAATTCTGAGAAAATGGATATAGTAAGGAACACTTTTGAATTGTCTCCAGTCGATGTTATATGTGTATCTGAGACGTGGTTCAGGTACAATGTAAGCAGTGTCCATTATGATATTAATGGTTATAAGTTGTTTCGTTCTGATAGGGTAGATAGAAAAGGTGGTGGAGTTGCTATTTACTGCAAAAAGCACCTAAAAACCAAACAGGTTTCGCAGTCACATTCAGAAAGAAGCTGCGTGGAGTACCTGTCTGTCGAAATGTCTAGCCCCTCGTCCAAAATCCTATTGTCTTGTGTGTATAATCCCTATAAGTATTTCAGCCTATGTGACTTTTTTAATTTTCTGTCCACTGTTTCTGTAGATTATGACCATATAATTCTTTGTGGTGATTTTAATGTGAACCTGTTATGTCCTGATTCTACCAGTGCTCGTTTAATAGTGTCTCCTGTGTTGGGTTGTCTATGGTTAATTTGTCGGTGCCCACAAGATATGGTAGCAATTGCTGTCCCAGCTTATTAGATTACTTTGCTGTATCTGATCCTTCTATTGTTTTGAAATTTGACCAAACATCTTTTATATCTGATCATGACTTGATATTTTGTTCTTTTGACGTTAAACTTGATCACTATGACGACAATACCTATGTATTTAACTTCTTTGACTACCGTTCCTTAGATGTCAACAACCTTTTCAGTAGCCTCTTGCAGATCGATTGGTCTGTTTGCTGGGGTCTCAGCACGGTCAATGAGAAGCTCCGTTTCCTAAACGAAAATATATTAAATTCGCTCCTCACTCATGTCCCTACCCGAACCTGTGACAGGTCTTCTTCCTGCCGTTGGTTTAATGGTGTGGTCCTATCAGTGATTAAAAAACGCAATAAATATTATAACATATGGAAAAGGAACCCGACAGATGAGAACTGGAGTGCTTTCAAAACAATAAGGAATGAAGCTACCTCGGTTATAAGACGTGAAAAGAAAAAATTCTTTATGAATAAGCTGGATCCCTCACTGCCTAATAATGTATTGTGGCGAAATCTGAGAACACTCCGCGTCCATGCCAGTGAGAAATCAGAATGCTCGTTGAGTCCTGAAACGCTTAGCGTTGCCTTTGCTTCTCCGCCTTCATCTTGTCCCCTTACGACCAACTCTGTAGCCTCCTGTCCGGTCTCTTTTGCTGGCGAAAAGTTTGAGTTCATTGCTGTGAGCGAGATTGATGTGGTGAAATCTGTTTTTAAGATCAGGTCCAACGCAATCGGGGAGGACGGCATTCCGATTAGATTTGTGAAGGTAATCTTACCGATTGTTTTGCCAACCTTGACACACATAATAAACCATAGTCTCACCACGTCCTGTTTTCCCGATGCCTGGAAGATTGCTACTGTGCTTCCTGTAGCCAAAAATAAATCCGCATCCAGCCCTAGTGATTTCCGACCCATCAGCATACTACCAGCCTTGTCTAAAGTTTTCGAATCTTTGTTATCTGAACAAATCTCTTCCCACATCGGTAAATTCAACCTTATATCCCCATTTCAATCCGGATTCAGACCCCATCACAGCTGCTCTACTGCAATGGTAAAGATACTTGATGACATTAGAATACTGTTCGACAAGAACCACTTAACACTACTATGCTTGCTGGACTTCTCTAAAGCCTTTGATTCAGTTAGCCATGAACTACTGTGCTTTAAATTAAAAAACTACTTTGGGTTTAGAGAGTCAGCAGTAAAACTGATGCGTAGCTATCTGAAAGAGAGGTCTCAGCGTGTCAAGGTTGGATCTCAAATATCTGAACAAAGGCCTTTGTTCACGGGTGTCCCACAAGGGTCAATCTTAGGACCACTACTATTTAGTTTGTTCGTTAATGATATATTTTTCGAGACTTCTATGCACGCCAACATGCATGCCTATGCGGACGATGTCCAGCTCTACATGTCAGGTCCTCTGGAGGACTCAGCTAATTTGTGCGCAAGCTTCAACAGGGAACTGATGTCTATAAGGTCCTGGGCACAGTTAAATGGTCTTTGTCTTAATTGTGACAAGTGTTTTGTTTTACCTATTTGTAAGAAACGTCTTAACCTAGCAACTATTCCATCGTTACACATTGGTGGCAAACCAATTAAATTTGTGTCAAAAGTAACTAACCTTGGGTTTATTATCAACACTGGCCTTACCTGCATTGACCATGTGAATTCAACTGTAGGCAAAGTCTATAATACTTTAAGGAATTTACGAATGTCTGCTCCATTTACACCGATAGAAATCAGACGTAAACTCGCAATCCAACTTATAATGCCAATTATCTGTTATTCTGAGGT